ATACTATATATATATATATATACAGAGTATATAAAAGTTCTACTTATTAACACTTGAATTTTAGAAACTCATCATCCCTCATCGTAAATTCTCGATTGGTGGAGTCCAGATTGCGCTGGATTAGTAAGATTCTCAACCAATCATATTGAGATCGTGCCATCTAAGCTCAGATCTCCCTTTGATTTTCAGATCTCGACGACCCTTTAGAAATTTGGAAGTTGCTCCATGGATCGTGGCTTGTTTACAGCATCAGCGAGCAAGAACCTAAACATGAGGTCAATTTTTTCAACGTTCAATAATACCAACAAACTTGGTAGGTATGAAGTGATCAATATGATGAACATTATCTTTCCTTTATCATTTCTTTCTTTTCATAAAAAAAAAGAGCATTATTACCTTCATCAAACTTTACCTACTTTGTAAAGACGTGAAGAAGTCCTTTTTCAACATCTACTCCCATTGCGCACACATATGCAATATCCAGTACCTTCTTCCCATTCAACGAATTGCATACACATACAACCTTGGTCTTCGCTTCTATTAAGAATCCAGAAAGTACCCAAGTGTTAATCACCCAGATTGTGAAAGCTTTCAATCGCATCCCCTCCTCCGGACACACGAGTTACGATACCTGCCTATCTAGGTATTCAATCGGAAAAACAAAATACTTCACGCAGGCTCAAATCTACTTCACACATCCAACAGGTTCGCCAGTGTAGTGTCATAAGGGTATCTCGCTTCTCTGCTTGCATATAATCTTGTTCAAATCGTAGGTCGACTGTGATATTGTCCACGGCCGGTTGCAATGGGTTCTTTACAATTATAGTACCACATATTATCTTCAATTGTCTCGTCGGCTATGAATTTGGAATCAGATTCAACGATGAATGCGACGGCTTCTCATCCTCGAAGGCCTCCGGCACATCTCTCCGTCTCCCTGAGGCACGATACGCCTGATCCTATTGAGAAGGAAAAGTCGGACTTGGATGTGGTAAAGCAGGTTGATACCTCGACTAAGCCAAGAAGTAATTCCACCTCGCCTTTCGGAAAACAAACATCGGACGATTCAGAGGATACTGTTGCCACGAATGTAAAGGATTGGTTTGATCGCTCAAATACACGTCCTGTGGTTGCTGTCAACCAGGACCCTGGAGACACTAGTAAGTTTCTGGTTGGGGAGCTTCACCAGCTCCTGTAAATTGACATAGTTGCAGGTGACCCGCCATACTTTCTTCAGCACAGCTCCAACGAAGACACTGATTCCAGCAAAGAATTGCCACTTCGAGGCAACCGTTACAATCTACACTCATTGAACCCCATATCAAGATCTCGAGATGGCAGTGCATCAGAAGAGTATCGCAGTATCATTGACGATTTGACCATCGAAAATAAGAAGTTGAAGGAGAAATTAAAGAGATATGGACGTTCATCGACTACCCACTTGGAGAACGAGAAGCTTTTCGAAGTCAAAATACATGCCTTATCGGCACGTAAACGAAGGGAGCTAGAAGAACTTCTTCATGCATTTTCTGCCAGTTTTAACGGTTCGTCGGAAGATTTGAGCATTAATGGTCCAACAGGTCGACAGTCAAGATCTTATTCGCTTTCCGGGAAACCTACAAAGCATAAATCCGTTTCATCAGGGTCCAACTCCCGACCGACTGACTCAGCATATGCCTCGATGTCGAGATCCGGGCCCTCGCATAGCTCCTCGGCTGGGGAAGGGTATAGGCCAACGCAATCGCGGGTCGCAGCCGATCAAAAACTGCAGGATTTCTTGCAAGACATTCCCCAGGGATTACAGCCGAGATCAACCCTAGAAATGTCCGAAAATCAGCGAAAGAGGATGGTTGTTCGGCGTCTAGAACAATTATTTACAGGAAAGACAGGGTCGCTCATCGGCGCGCACAGTCAATCTTTGCAACAGCAAGAGGTGTCCAGGTCGGCCGCGAGAGCAGATCAAGCCTCGCAAATTCATTTCCACCCTAGAGAAGGTGTACGCGAAGCTCATATCGGGCCACATAATATGGAACTAGACAAGCAGGGATTAGTAAATAATTCAAAGAATAGCCAATCGCCAACAGAACAGTCAGATTCTCCTCATAAGTCGCGTGGATCCCCTTCACCACAGCAAAGGCCAACTAGGCCCTTGGATTTGGATCCAGACCGTGACCAAGTCGGTTCCGATAACGTCGAGTATATTCGCCACCTCGGAATCTCAGCACCCCAACTATTAACAGAAGAATCACAAGATGCTGCCGTTGATGCCGAGGGATGGGTCTATCTGAATCTTCTGATCAATATGGCGCAATTGCATATTATCAACGTCACACCTGGCTTTATCAGATCTGCAGTAACCGAATTGAGTAGGAAACTTCAAATATCTCCAGATGGAAAGAAGCTGCGATGGAGAGGTGGTACGCAAGGAACAAGCTTAAACAGTGACAGCGGTAATAGCAGTGTTCATCAACGATCCCCACCCGATAGTGATGGCAGTGACGAAGCTTCGCGCAAAAGACGCAAGGTTCATGCCAACAAATTCACTCCTACGGGACAAGCACCCCTGAAAATGATAAACCAGAGCTCAAAGAATCCTAAAGCAATGGATGCATGCTTCTATGAGCCGATGTTTGTTCGTTATCCACAACATACATCCGAGGTGTCTGGTGATGAGAGCGACATCTCACCAAATCATTATAGTCTTCACGGCTTTGCATCTCCTATCAAGAGACTCGGTAACAGTCCACGCGACGATGGGCCATTGACATTCTATAATGGAACGAAATTCTTTAGTGATCTCTCTGGTGATCGTGGCGACCTTGAAACCCCGCTACATATTACTGGCGTTGACAAAGATGGTTACAGCAATCACACTGAAGATGCTGTCGGCTGCTCACCTCCTACAAGACATCTCCTTAAGGACAGGACTCCTTCCGGATCTTTTCTACCATTCAGGCCTTTCAAGGACTATTCCAAAGGAGGAGATCTGTTCCAGCCCCCAGAAACAAGATCACAAACTCCTAGTATACTCTCCGACGATACGGACTTTGAATTTACCACAGACATGACATGTGGCGACCCTGAATCTCCTCCGCCCCTTGCAGAATTTGTCGCCAGTGGGCTCGCCGGCATTCAACCATCCGACCACTTGCTTTACAAGGTTCATACACGATTGACGTCGAATAACGACCATGTTCCTTTCAAGCTTTCTAAATTTTCGGCCCCCCGTTCAACCTCGAAGATTTTACACACGATTTCACAGTCTTCACTAGATTCATTTCACAATCCAGAGCCTCAGAACAAGGTAGATAGCATAATCAGTAAATTGGCTCACTCGACCGATCCTGCTAATGGATCGCCACCGCACCGACTATATGAGAGTTTACCCATCAAGACCGAAAACATTTCGGAACAATTGATTATGCTTCACCCATCACCCCTACCCGAACCGTCCTCTTATTTCGACTTACTTTGCGGCACTGAAACCGTAGGAGACTATTCCGACACCTCCTCTTCTTTCATGGGAATTTCTCATCTTAGAGATGAACCTCTAGAAAAAGGCGAAGATCTGATGTCAGATAACGATATACAAGTGTCATCTGATGACGGTGCTATGGATATTGAAGACGCGGAAGATGATGATGATGATGATGATAGCATTGATATGTTGGCGTATGTAAGAGATATTGATCCAAAGGCTGTGGCGACCCAGGAGCAAAAGTACGAAATGGAAGCTAGTGATAAGAGTGTTCAGTTGGGGAGTGCGGCGAGTAAATCCGTCCCCCCGTTTCTGTTTGAGGAGAGCGAGGGGGTGGAACTTTGAATATCGTAAACGTTTATGAGATTTGGAGTTGGATCTTATTTCGATTGGCGAATATGACGGACTCGAGCATTTTATGGCGTGATTTGGAAGGTTTATATTGGGTTCAGGTCATTCTTGGTTGGGATTTGGTTTAATACCAGCAGTCTATTATTGCTGGTTGTACAAGTGCGGGTGTGGATCTCTGGTTTGGTTTGGCGCAAGGTGGAGATACCATATTGATTTTGAGCGAGCATTGCTAGGTATAGATGAATCATTTTGGGGATGATATCATAGGATATGATTTAAATCATGTACAATGGAATGGAAAATGAGGAATTGGGTTATTTAGTCTTATTAATTAGGGGTTAGTGGATAAAGCCTCCTTACTCTGTCTGACAATTCAGATATTGTTTAGCGATTTTTATATAGCCTTTGAATCTCAATGCTCTGTTAATATAGGGAATGTTTGTCTTCGAGATGCTTTGGTGAAATTGAGTTATTAATAAGTTATTATAATGTTTGATTTGAGATTTGAGATTTGAGATTTGAGATTTGAGATTTGAAAAGTTCGAAATAAACACTACTGGTTAGGGAGATTCTTTTATCCACAAGAGAAGTTAACGTGAATTAATAGGTGGATGGTATATCAGCAATTCCCTTAAATTCATAGATGATTTGAACAAATAAATATAAACTATAGGCTAGGGCAAAGGCGAAAAACAACCTCCACGAGTTTATTAGGGTCTTTGTAATAGCTAGCTTATTGAAAATAACAATTCGTTTCGATCTTTGATGGAATTCGTTGTGGGTTTTTGAGATGGGGATTCTGTAGTAGATTTGTATATATATAGGTACCTATGCTTATAATATTGATATTGATATTAACATTGATACTATGTAATACAGAAGATAATTAATTAGTTTATAATATATACCTACCTACCTACCTCTAGAAATCGAAACTCGGTTACAGTAAGATTAATAGATAGATGGGTTTCTTGATACTCGTATCTTTTTACTTGAAGGTGCTCGTAATACTTTTGTTCGGTATTAAGGTTATGTCCAGAGATTGAAATAATAAATATCTGAGCACCAGTGGAGTAAGTACCTTTATCAACATCTTCTCTTCGAGAAATGTACGATACTAGTACTGTATATTCTCCAAGCTGTATTTATAGGAAGTGTATTGTGATAGTATGCACATCATGCATTACGATAGGTAGGCTCGTAGGTACTTAACCATACGATGCGAACCAAAATCGACTCGGAAGATCTCCCCTCCGTCAAAACAAACCCATGCGACCACCAAAAGAGATCAACCCCCCCCCCCCGGCGCGAAGTTTCGACCAAATTCTTGCATTCCCTACCCCTGAATCTCAAAAATCGGATCCTGGGGCTTCGGGCGCGGGACATTAGATGACAGTTCCTGTGGCGGTTGCCAGACGAATGGTTTCGGTTCCGCCGCCTCATCGTCCGGTTTCGTAGTCATGGTATGAGGATTTGGAGATCTTGAAGGTTGTCGAAGATGATATCCTAGCGCGAAGGCTGCGATGATGGCCGTAATACCCAGTGTGACACCTACTCCTATACCCACTTTAGCACCGGGACTCAATTCACTCGATGTGGTAGCTGGAGAAGATGGGCTTGAAGTAGCTGGAGAAATACTCGCAGTACTTGTTGTCTCAATTGTCAAAGAAGAATGAGAAGAAGTAGCGGATGAACTGATAGCCTTATTTGTAATATTAATCGACTGGCTTGCGAATAAGTCGGGGGTTCCGGTGTGCGTAATTATGAAATAAAATGTCGATCCGTTGTTGAGGTCGAATCCTGGATTACCGTTCGTGCCACTGATATCAATAATCCATGTGTATGAAGTTACCAGATTGGGTATTTGGACTGTGTGGAAACGCTGTTAGTAAGATGAAATGATGTAGTTTATCCAAGTTTAGCACAGATGAGAAAACTTTCGATTATCCAACCACTGTAGATATTCCAATGAAACCTAGTGGTTCGAGCGGGCGAAATGTCTTGAATAGGTTCAATGTATCAAACGGATTTCGAGATATTGGAAACCATCAGGGGGAATGTAAAATAAAATAAGGTTGAGTTACCAGAATTAGGAAGGTATTGATAAGGTGGCTTTCCATTTTGCCAGATGACAATGGTGACCATATCCCAGATAGTATCCCATCGTAAGTCGACTGTGCTGCCTACTTCGTACGATCCTTCGACGACGTGAGAAGCATTGAGAGTGGTGAGGTTTGAGGGGAATATGAAATTGTTAGAGGTGCCCGCTGCGCCAGCACTGCCTATTAGAAAGACGAAGAAAAGAAACCAGATCATGGGTAGATTTAAGTAGACTTCATCTCGTGAACTATGCTTTCTTCTTGAAGGAATCGCCGCACACATAAAGAAAGGAAGGATGAATGTAAAACGCTCGAGGGCTGATATTACAAGGCGCTACGATGTAAGAAAGATGCAGGGGGAGGTAGAACATCGCGTCGTATAGCATAATAGGATCATGAATATACGCAATGTAACATGAGAGAATATATATAGTAGAGATGAATCTCACTCCCGGATTCGATTATAGCCATTCGAGCGGTACTCTGCACCACCAGCATCCAATCCAACATCAGCGACTAATTGCCCAGGCATAATTTGACAGAACCGAGATAACATCCAACACACTTGAGCGAATGATAGCAACTGGCCCCCAAAACTTGATCCTGATGGTTTGAAAGTGGACACGAGATATCACTTTAATCTTGTGGTTTTCGGACAGATGTAGCTGAGTTTTGAATTGGGGTATGAACAACTTATACATATCGCTCTCAGGGTTCAGATCGGCATAATATTTGGCCGAGGCACTATAAAAATAGACTGCTTGGTCCTAAAAATAATAAGCTCTCGATAATAGTGCATACAGAAAACCGACCTTGATAATTACAAAATTTGGAAAACAAAGGATAGTATCACTAAAGCTAGTCTTAGTGCGTTTACCTGTATCGTATATCTCATTGTGGGTGTTTTCTTTGGGTATTGGGTATGCTGGGATTGTTGCTTTGAGATTAAGGAGTTACTGTCATTGTTATACTCATTGGCTACTAGATAGGTGTTTCACAGTTTGGGAAATAATGGATGGGTAGGAGCAGAAAGAGTATTTTGATTATTCATTTCGAGATATCTATTCGTGGGCAAGCTATTTGACATATGGATATGAAGCAGATGAAGTCATGAAGTCATGAAGAAACATGCCCTTGATCAAGTGAGTTATGTCTAGGACTTGGGTGACTGGGGATCATGACTTGATTTGACTTGAGGTGTTTAGCCGAGGACCTTTTCGGCGGCGCTGACTATTAGAGGGGGTTGTGTTAGCTTTTTCTCTTGCTTTGCTTTTCTCTACTCTGCTCTCGAGCTGCGATGATTGAACTGGGATGAGAGAGATGTGTGGAGATACCACGGGGCTGGATGGATAATACCGAAAGTGAAGAAGGGAGAAGCAATAGATTGTAGAAAGGAATGGAAAATGAAAAAACATACCATCTAAACCAGTGTTATCCGGCTCAACGTGAAGGGCCTTGACCTTCCCATCTTCAATTTGGAGCGCGTAACGTTTACTGCGGGGTCCACCGAAGATGGCGGTGCCGTCAAAGGTTAGATCAAGGGCGGAGGTGAAGGAGGCGGTTGGGTCGCCGAGGAAGCGGATCTGTTGGAGGGGGAGAGTCAATGGTGGTTTGGGGTCTGGGGATGAATTGAGGAGGAGGAGATGAGTGGATGGGTTGGGGAGAGGGGGGATAGAACGCATACACCAGATTCACCGGTAGGATCAAGAGTTGAGCCCCATGCTTTGGTACTGGAATTTCGTGTTAGTACAGTCTAATGATTTCATCCATCTATGTGATATCCTCGTGACATTTCGATCAAAGTTCTCAAATGCGAGAGATAGAACAGAGTATGAATAGCAGAATTTCATAAAGTAGCTCACTTACACAAAAGGATCATTAACAGCAACTACAAATACATCACCGGCTTCCTTGAGCTTGGGATGATTGATATAGCCCGGAATGTGAGAATTGGAGCACGAGGGACCTGTTTTTATGTCAGTTAATGCTCATATTTCTTTCTTTTGTTCTTATATATCTGTAAATTTATATATCGAAGGTCTCCAAATCTATTTGAGTAGACACAGATTTAAAATTCTCACTAGAGATTGAAAGCGAAAGCAAGAAAAGGGGGAATAAACATACTGAAAGCAGCAGGAACACCAATGATCAAAGCTTTACCAGTAGTAAGCTCACTCAAGTTAACCTTGTTAGCGGGTGAATTCTCAACCAAGGTGTCAAGATTGGGAATTTTATCGCCGACTTTGATGAATGCTGGGCGGGTGGTGGAGAAAGTGCGGAAAGTTTGAGGGGTTGCAAGACGGCGAATCGCGAATCTGGTAGCCATTTTGTAGGTGTTTTGATTGTTAATTGAGAGATGAATTGGTGTTTAGGAACAATCCCTTCGGGTCAATGAGATTGAGTTGTTGAGTTGAAATGCTGAAGGTATTCAGATGTTGATAGCATGGGGTTGGGAAAAGTTGAAAGGGAAGTTGCAAGCGATGGTGACGTGCTGAGGATCGTCAGTTCTTGCCTCTTTTGAGATGGGATGAAGCCGGCAGAAGCATCATTGTCATTGGAACTTTCGAACTTCACAACATGATAGATACTCGACAATTAGTTTACATACTAGTTAATCTCACTGTTGGTATATTGACTCAAATTGAGTAATCATACCAAGACTCAATTAGTATCGACAACAACCCAATGATTGTATCATCAACGCTAGCTTTCTCGTATGACAATTTAGCACAAAACTTCATCCATCCCAACCTTCTCCAAGAGAAACCAAGAACTTCAAACCTCGGACAAACAATTTCACCGCCAGTACATCTGCATGCAATCAGTAGTATCCCCAAGTTTCCCCTCACCAGGTACACCTCAATGCCAAGTCCCTTTTTTCTTTACCGGCGATGGGGTGATGTAGTCACTTAGCGCTCGTCTCCGATTGGTGCGCATCCAAATGCACTGGAGAAACCTTTCTTGCGAACCAGTCCCGTGTTGATGGCCAGCGCGCTCAACTATATCTTTTGCGGGGATCAACATGGGAATGCCCCCATACCGACCGCATGCTGGAGAGTACGATGCAGAGCTATGTTCCCAGTGGTTACTATTCTCATGCGGGGTATTTTTCCGGAGTACCTGGTCGTGATCAAGTGAATCAAACTTGGGGAATGCAGGGGTATAGGGGAGAGTATAAATGTCATGAATTTTCTCTTGTTGTTTGTATAGTTTCCCCTTGTGTTCTCATATTAGATCCTCCTTACAACTCAAGATGAAGTTCTTCTCTTTTGCGGTGCTTGCTGCAGTGTGCGAGACGGTTCTTGCGGCTCCTGCACTTGCTCCTTTTAGCACATTTTCTGATGTCACGATTTTCACTCCTGGAGCTAATTGGACTGATCCTGGTGTTCTCTATGCCCGAACTGTCGAGTTACCAGGTGGTGTGCTCTTAGCTACATGGGAAAACTACAGTCCAGAACCTCCTCTCGTCTATTTCCCTATCTTCAAGAGTACAGATGGTGGAGAATCATGGAAACATATCTCGAATATTACAGATCAGGTTAATGGATGGGGATTGAGATATCAACCATTCTTATACTATATGACGGAGAAAGTCGGAAAATACCCAGCTGGTACTATTCTTGCGACTGGAAATTCTATCCCGACAGATTTGAGTGAGACTCAAATTGATGTTTATGCTAGCTTGGATCATGGATATACTTGGGAATTCGTATCCACCGTAGCAAATGGTGGTGCAGCTGTTCCTGATAATGGTGTCCCTGCTATCTGGGAACCGTTCCTTCTCACATACAAGGGACAGATCGTTCGTAAGTACTCCCCATAATCTCTACCATCCCATAAATACTGACCCAATAAAAGTCTACTACTCCGACCAACGTGATCCATTATACGGCCAAAAGCTCGTCCACACTGTTTCTTCCGATCTCCTCACCTGGGGAGCAATTGTAGATGACGTTCACTATTCAACCTATACCGCCCGTCCAGGAATGACAACCATCTCCAAACTTCCCAACGGTAAATACATCATGACCTACGAATACGGCGGTGGCCCAACTGTAAACAACACCTCCACATATCTCTTCCCCGTTTACTACCGCATCTCCTCTTCTCCTCTCACTTTCCTCTCTGCACCCGGTACTCCTCTCATCACAAACAACGGCATTCAACCCACCGGCTCCCCATATAACGTGTGGTCACCAACCGGTGGTGCAAACGGTACTATCATTGTCAGCTCTGGCGGCCGTTCGGAAGTTTTCGTCAACAGAGCACTTGGAGCTGCAGATGCATGGAAGACAGTGGCAACTCCAGAGGGAACAAGTTACACCCGACATTTGAGAGTGTTGGATAGTAACAAGAATCATCTTTTGATTGCTGGTGGTGGAATTTTGCCACCTAGTACGACAAATAAGGTTACCGTCAGTGTGATTGATATCACAAAGGGCTTGGCTGCTGAGTCGTAGTTTTAGCCAGCGGTGGAATGGTTGGAGTTGGTTGGGGTATATAATGTACGAGATATGAAATAAGAAATAAGAAATGTATAATTTATTTGTATATACTATATACGTGTGGACTTTGAGTAAGAGTGAGAATTTTGAAAAGAAATCTGGAGGATGATGGAATTTGAAGAACAAACATTACCATGGCATTACATAGTTTTTAATATACAATGCATTTTACAATCCATATGATTTAACGTCCGGAGATCATGCAAGAGAGGTGCTAAAATACGATCCCAAGATTCTAAATTTATATATCACATGTCATACACTGCTTCCTGTGATAGTTTCCCGGATGAGTATAAGCATACAAGAGAATCTACTATAATACTAGCTTTGATAGAGAATGAAATCGATACTACCATACCACTGGCTGATACCAGACAACAAAATAATTATGGAAGTATATAGAATCATTGAGAGAATATATAGACAAATCTCCTAGCTTCCTGAATCCTGCTAGCTTTCACGTTTATATTCGTAGGAACTCTTTCATGGAGAATGTTACTCACCTTGTGTAAGAGAACAAGACCATCATCATAAATTGTAAGAAAGTTGGGAGTTTGAAACTCTTTAATCTACAATATGTCCATGTACATGAATAAAAATGGAAGATACGTGTTTAGGATAAATATAAGTATGTACTTCGATAACGATCAAGAGGAGATTGATAAATCCCAACCAAATGTTCTAAATCTACTCACTCTCCCATTCAGCAAACCAATCCCTAAACTCCAAGATTTCCACATCATTAATCCTCCATCTTCAAACCCCGCATGTAAATCACAACAAACAAAGAATCCGTCTCATCGCCAGCTCAAGTTGAACTCGTGGTGTCTCTAGACCAGATTCTTGTCTCCTGGCTCTCCATGCTATGAATCCATCTGGTCGTACCAATATCGCACCTTGAGATGATATACCCGTTGTGGTTTCGAATATGTTGGCTTCTGTGACGAGATCGCCGTTTGGTCCTGTACTGTATGTGAGTATGTCGATAGCTAGAGGTTTCGATATTAATTTCGCAGCTTCGATCCATGCTTCTCCTTTTGCTCCAGTCAGCAAGGTGAATTTTTGCCCGCATAGATCGAGAGTCGAAATGCGTTTCCCTTCATACATGATCCATAGATGT